TCATCTTGTCTTAATCAATTACGTCTAATGTTGTAGGTCAACATTCGTGGTTGACTTTTATATCACAGAGCATGGACTCTTTTAAGTTTGTTTTTTAACATATTTTTGGTAGTAATAACCCGTGAAAAGATTACATCATGAGTTTGCGTGAATATTTATCGGTATGAACTATGAACGTCAATACTCTGCAATCAACTTCAAGAATTGTTTCTTGGCTTAATGATATTTTATTAAATATATACTTGAAAAATAGGTGAATGAGATGATTCTCAACTATAATTAGAGATTTTATTTGTATATGTTTAAAAATGACATGAGAATCATTTCTTTATTTGTTTGTTTAAGTTTTTTCAGCTCTCAACCGCGTCTTTATTTTTTTAATTGTGTAATATAATTTCAGGAACAATTTTTCAAATCAGATCTACAGAGTAGTTACAATTTTATTTTATTTTTATTTCAAAGATTCTGTCCAAGCATGTAATAAAATAGATTTTCATATTCGATAATTTTGAAATAGGTGTGGACATAATTAAATTTTGAGCCAATTAAATGGTGACAAGTGTTAAAATCAATTTAATAGATCCTTTTATTTTTTGAAAATAAAATTAATTAAATTTTAACTCCTAAATTAATTAATTAATTAATTAATTACTTAATATATATTGTTGGCCAATTAAAGAATGTCATATGTCATATTCTTGAAGAATAAAATAAATAATTATCTCTTTGAAAATTTGTTAAAGAGATATAAATATTGGAAATTATGGACCAAGCAAATTGAATTCTTCTTTTCCGAGACTCTCTCTCCTAATTATCTATTTCAATAATTATTAAGAGATAAATATTGAAAAATCATGAAATTGAAATATTCTTTTTTCAAAATTCTCTCTCCTAACACCTATAAGGGGATTATCTTAAGGTCAAAAGGACAATCTGTATTCAAGTTCAAAAACTCTAGAGAATTCTCTCGACGAGATTCAAGTGTTCTTGAAAATTCGAAGCAAGATTCAAGCGCGGTTAAGGTCAAGACCCACGTTTAATCGGAAGCAAGCTGCCAAGCCTCCGAATCAGGTTATTAAAGTGAAGATCATATCGAAGCAAGATTCAAGCACGTTCAAGCTCAAGACCGATGTTTAATCCGAAAGCGAGCTGCCAAGCCTCCAAATTACGTTATTAAAGTGAAAATCAGCGTGGAGAAACTGGGGAAAAACAGGTACGGGCCCACTACCATGAAGCACACCATGACAAGGGAAAGCCCATATGAAGCCCAAGTGGGGTTCCATCCCAAAACCAATTGGTGGAAGGAGGAATAGCCAATTAGACTTATAAAGTGGGTCTATTTTCCATGTATGAACGATGTGGGACAACTCACAAGTGATATTCTAACACGCCCTTTCACTTGTGAATCCTCCGAAAGTCTAAGTCCAACTGGCTGGGTGACGGGTACGTCATCGCACGGTCACCAATAGGACCGGCTATGATACCATGTAAGAAACTGGAGGAAAACGAGTGCGGTCCCACTACCATGAAGCGCATCATGAACGGAGAAAAGCCCAGATGAAGCCCAAGTGTGGTTCCATCTCAAAACCAATTGGTGGAAGGAGGAATAGCCCATTAGACTTATAAAGTGGGTCTATTTTCCATGTATGAACGATGTGGGGCAACTCACAAGTGATATTCTAACAATGTTCTTGGGAAAATACAACATTCGATGCGAAATTAGGCTGTCAAGCCGTCTAAGAAACGTTATTTAAATTCAAATTCAAGATCGGCGGAGACCAAACTGAAGATACATCTCCAAAAGTCTCAAATCCATTTAAAGATCGTTCTTGAAGAAAGTAATCAGAAGAATAATAGAGATTTGTAATCCACTATATTTCGTTTGGTCTGTTGAAATCAAGTATGTACGAATTTCTCGTGTTTATTAATCCAAGAATACGAAATTTGCGTTACAAGGTGATTGAAAATAAAAGAGAAAATAAGTCCAAATTAAATAAATTATAAGGCTAGCAACTTGAACTAAAAATAAGTCCAAATTAAAAAGTGAAATGCCACAAAAAATTGGCAAACCCTACAGGAACTGACTAAGCCAAACACTAACCTACACAAAATCATACAAGATGGATGAAAAATCGTTTAAGAGGAACAAGACGGCGACCAATCTTTTGATCTCTACATCACATAGAACAAACAGGTTTATAGAAGATTAGTTGGGGCAACCCTACAGGACTGGACTGTAACAACAAATTTTATGAAAAACATAAATGTTTGGTCTTGACTTGATTGAAGAAGACTTTTTGGAGGACTTATTTATTTGATCTTCTTGAAACGCAGATTTTGACTTGAATAACGTTGAATCGAGGACTTGATAGTTTTTTTCCGAATCAGACGCTATGTTGGTTGAACTTTTCAACGAACGCGGCTTGAATGTCGTTTGAATGCCGTTGATATTCTTGAATTGATGAGAGGAGTGGAAGTCGTCTATTTACTTCTTAGGGAAGAGTCGCCGCCTCTTTTTCTTCTTCTTGGCCTTCTTCTTCATTAAATGGACTTGGTTGCGGGTTGATGCCGATCTTCAACTTGAATTACCTTAGATCTTCAAGAACACTTTTAGATCTTCAAGAGAATTATTGAGAGCTCTTGAACTTGAGATTTTGATGTATGAGGCGTGTTTGATTTTTGAGGTATCTTAGGTGTGATTTGTGACTTTGAGGACAACCCTATTTATAGGTGTAGGAGAGAGAGTCTTGGAGAAGAAGACATCAATTTGATTGATTCTTCTTGCTTTGGTATAATCTATTTCCTTATCCTAGGATTTGATATAATCTATTTCCTAATCTTAAGATTTGACGTGGTGGACAAGAAATAATAACATTATTAATTATATATCTTATTTATCATGGATTTATGTCCAAAAAATAATAAAGACATAAATTAATAAAATATTAAAATTTTGATGTCTACATAGACACAAACAACAAAACCAAACAAAGGTCTACACAACACACAACAATTGCATACAACGAAGCCAAACGCCCTCCCCAACTTCCATCAAGCTCGACACCCCTACAACCGAAAAGAACCAACTATCCAAGTCGACCACTCAAAGAGGAGCCTGACCGGAAAAGCAAGAAGCTCAAGTATATGGGCACTCCAAACTTCGGACGGCTATTGGCTACGCGCATCTGAGACTTGCTGACCAAATCCTACTTTCCATCCAAACGGCCTTTAGGGAACAACAAACGAAAGTACCCAAGCCGCCTTCAGTACCAACTCATCGACAAAAATCTGGCCACGGACTGTCGAATAGAAGATCGACGCCCAAGACGGTTCACTCCCGGCAATACGCACAACCTGAGCTTGGCTTCGCGAAATGAGGCTGGTGGTGGTCGGGGCACCAGCTACACCTTGGTCGGAGCAGTAGGCTTCGAAAACTAGAGGCTACAAAAAGATTTGTTGAGGGAGCTGACCGCGTGTTGCGATGCTACAAATTTAAATTCATAAAAGTTTCCTCAACGAACCTCCACTAACTAGCAATAGCCATAAGTGATGGTCGCCATCCCACAGGGAGTAGGAATTAAGTCATTACAATTTCGTATTAAATCCAGTTCTCGGTTCAGTCATCAGATTTAAATCTACCATTAATTAATTTCAACACCTTCATTTAATTGTAATATATTACCAATCCTTATTAACTACAAACTACAAATTATTTGACCGAATTTTCTTTCTCTGAATATTTATTCAAAATAAGCTATTCAACTAAACATTTCTAATAAACCACCCATAAGTATTTAAGACTTTCACTTCATTATTAGATTTGGTTGTTTTTTATTAAGAATAATAAAAATTGCTCAGTTCTTTCTCAATCTCTCTTGTCGATACGCCTTCAAATTGAATAACTCAGAGCATCTCCAATGTTTAAATGTAGTTGCAGTAAATTACACTCTACATTAACATATTTAGCAATTTAGTTACTTTTAATCCTCCAATGCACAATATTATTACAAATGTAGAGATGAGGTAGATATAATTAATGTCTACAATGTAGAGATGAATGTGGTTCATCCACATTCTCATTCACATTCTAACCAACCAATAGAGAGAAGAGAGAGAAATATTATTACCATTTTCAAAATATCTAATCATTTAATTCTTTTTTTTTTTCATATTTATAAATTTTTTATTTTGGCCAAGTGGATAATATTGTGTTTGATTATATTGTGCATTAGAGATAATTTTTCAGAATTAAAGTTGTGAACCTAACAATGTGATTCACAATCTATCTAATTAATTGACATTTGTTAAAATTTATGTAATAACAATATTTATGCATTAGAGATGCTCTCAGACTTGGGTGTCAAAAACCTAAAATATGACGCAACGAGCGATGAGCTGCTTTAATCGCTATTAAGTTTAAAATTGATATTTTAAAAGCTTCCCAGTTACAAACTTTCCAGTCAAATCTGGACTCCATCAGCCTTCCTGTCACTAATAATAGGCTATAAGCCTATACTATAATATGAATTCTATTTTTGACGATTAAAGATCAGTAATTACAGAACATATTTTTGCAATTTTTGCAAGTGATAATAGCGAAAGGCGACTAAGGTTAGATTCATGAACTGTGATTATGTGGCTGTGTGGCAAAGGGCTCTTTAAATGAAGAGAGAATAAAGAGTGACTACTTCCCGTCAAAGGTAGGGCAGTGCAGTACATATGATATAATCATTATCGAATTTAATTCACTTAATAAATGCAATCCTAGAAATGCCAACCTGCCTGATTATTCGCAAATTTATTTCTCAAATACAACCCCAATGGCCTTGGTAATTGAGAAACACTGCACAGCACATAACTCCGTATAGTCAAGTCCAATTTTCTAAGCACCGCCTGCTTATTCAATTCCAAAACACACATGCCCATAAACCAAACCCCAGGTTTTTCATTAAAATCTAATAAACCATTTTTTATTTTAACGATAATAAAATACTATTTCCCTTGTACATCACATTATTATTTTCATATTTCATACACGAACATCCACACATTTCGAAATAAAATAATATAATTACATGGATTAGCAAATCAAGTTTCTAGCAAACATAAACAAGATAATTTAATAGTACTACTACTTTCAGAAGAGAAAAGGAAAAAAGAAACAACCTGGGTTTAATTTGCACCTATACACATACTTCTGAAAGCAAAACATAACAATAATCCACGGTCCACCCCTAAAAACTTAATACTACAAACAAACCAAGTTATTCAAACAAAAGCAAACAAACAAACAAAAAAAACGAAAAAGTCCAAACATCAAACAAACAAACATACAGCACCATAACCACCTTACACTAAAAATTCAAATAAAACTAATTAAGACCCATTTCACAAACCTCCCAATAGACTAAACTGCCCTTCAATTTCAAATGCTGAGTAGATCTGGCACAACCGGCGATTGAGGAGACTCCAAACCCGATTTCGGTTGGCTCAAATCCGAATCCTTCAATTCTCCCGGTTTTGCGCCAGGTGGCTTGGGAAGCTCTGTTAGTATCTGCACCACTTCACGCATGGTGGGCCGCTCGACTGCCTGCTCTTCAACACATAGCATTGCCACATAAAAGACATGCATCAGTTCATGGAGTGGGACAGTCGAGAGCCTTGGGTCGAGGATTTTGATAACCCCTTCAGTGGCACCATCAGTCATTCTCCGGACCCACTGGACTATGTCCACACCGTCACCAAACTCGCCAACGGGCTTTCGGCCCGTGACAAGTTCCAAGAGAACGACCCCGAAACTGTACACGTCACTCTTTTCGTCCACCCTAAGTGTGTACGCGTATTCTGCGAGAGAGAAAATAATGATGACCGATTTAGTAAATATTTATTACATAGAAGAATCCAGCCAATGAGTAATATGTTGCGTAAATCGATTAATCCACCAATCGAATTAGGTAATCTAAATACCAAATACCAAATGCCGAATTAAGGCACATGGATTTGCATATGCATATACCTAATTTCAAATGGTAATTGAAACTAATGGCATGAAAGGGACTGGGAAACTAATGATTTGCTAAATATTTCACCTTAAGACTATGCAATCAGTGAAAAATAAGCCCAAAGTAAGTGAAAGTTTGACAATATCACCGAAAACATTAAGGAGTACTTTTCCAAACTGCAAGTAAGTTACCTCCACCAATGAAACTAGAATGCTACAAATAATGAAATTTAGTTAATGAAATATACCGTACCAGGAGCAATGTAGCCATAAGAACCAGCAATGGCTGACATGCATTCGGACGTCCCAGAATCCTGCAAGAACTTGGCAAGCCCAAAATCAGCAACATGGGCTTCGAAGCCCGAATCCAGAAGTATGTTATTCGACTTGACATCACGGTGGACTATCAAAGGCGAGCAGTCGTGATGCAGATAGCAGAGTCCCTTGGCAGCCTCCACAGCTATCTTATACCGTGTGTCCCAATGCAAGTGGCCGCCTTTCTTGCCATGGAGCATTTCCCCCAAGCTCCCATTAGGCATGTACTCGTAAACCAGAAGGTTTGTCTCGTGATTCGAACAGAACCCCAGTAAACGAACAATGTGTCGGTGCCTTATCCTCCCTAAAGTCTGTATCTCGGCACTGAATCCGTGATCGTGATGTGAGGAGCCGCGGCCCATTGCCGCCAGCCGCTTGACGGCCACTAATTCCCCGTTTGGCATCACACCTTTGTAAACAATGCCAGCTCCACCTTTCCCAATGATGTTGTCCTCTTTGAGACTGTCCAATATGTCATCGCAAGTGAAGTCCAAACGTTGGAAGGCCGTGAGCTTCCATGAACGGGCCTCGTTCGCCTTCTTTAAGGACCGCGCTTTGATAATGGCAGCCACAGCAAAAACGATAGAGCAAACGAGGAGTCCAATCACGAGGAGAAGCTTAGTGGAAGGGGAGAAAGTCCCTTTCTCGTGCGGCCTCATGGGCCCACCGGAAATTCCGGCCTTGCATGACCCCAAATACGGGCCGCAAAGATCGGGGTTGCCCACAAAGGAAGTGTAATTGAAGTAACTAAACTGGCCAGTCCCAGGAACTAATCCAGAGAGATTGTTATATGAGAAATCAACAGAGGTTAAACTCTGCATGCTAGCTATGGATGAAGGGATGCCACCCACCAAATGATTTCTAGACACATTCAAGTAGTTCAAGATTCTCATACCAGTGATCTCTGATGGGATTTCGCCGGAGAGCTGGTTTCGGCTCAGGTCAACGAAGGTCAACAGCTTACATTCGCTGATCTCGGGGGCAATGCGGCCCGAGAACTCATTGTGGCTCAAATCCATCTTTGAGAGCTGCTTTAGGTTCCCGATTTTAGCTGGGATTGGGCCCGAGAATTTGTTTCCATCGAGCAAGAGCTTCTGAACGCCCACGAAATTCCCAATGCTCGGCGACAAAGGCCCGGTGAGTTGATTGTTGGAGAGAGTAATTTGGCCGAGGCTCGTGGACTGTGCATCGGTCTCTGGGAAAGGACCAGATAGGAGATTATCTTGGAGCTCGATTTGAGTGAGTTTAGGCAAACTTAATAGCCCTTTTGGAATGGAGCCGTTAAGATAGTTATCACCCATTCGAATTCGACTCAGTGACTTGCATTCACCCAGTGAGTCAGGAATGGGACCGATGAGGAAATTTCCAAGAGTGATTAATGTGTGCAGCTGATTGCCTTTGCATATACTTTGGGGCAAATTTCCGGTCAATTTGTTCGAACTAACATCGACTTCCTGAAGGTTCCCATTAGTTCCCAAGTTGGGAGGAATAATCCCAGTGAAATTATTCTCCCACAACTGCAGAACTTGTAGCTCCGGCAGCTCGGCGATAAAATCCGGAATTGAGCCGGTGAGCTTGTTCCTGAAAAGGTTTAAGAGGGTTAGGTTTTTTAGCTCCGCAAACGACAGCGGAATTTCACCGGAAAACATGTTGTTGGACAGATCCAGCGATCTCAAGCTCTTCAGGTAGCCAATCTCCGACGCCAGGCCGCCGGAAAGTGCATTCACCTGGAGAAAAAGAGTGTCGAGGTTCTGCAGATTCCCTATCTCCGGCGGGATCTCACCGGTAAGCCCGCAGTTGGCGGCGTCGAATTTCACCAGCTGAGACAATTTCCCAATCTCCTTGGGGATTCCGCCGGTGAACGCATTGTAATACCCAATGTAAAGTTCCTTGAGCTGAGTCAAGTTCCCGATCTCCGGCGGTATGGATCCGGTGAGCTCGTTACCGGAAACAGCCAGGTACTCGAGGTGAGGGAACGAGCCGAACTCCGCCGGCAAGGAACCGTTGAAGAAGTTGCCGCCGAGATGGAGGTGGGTAAGATTGGTGAGTAAATACGCCTGCGAGGGGAAAGCGCCGGTCAGATTGTTGTTGTACAGATCGAGGACCTGGAGGTTCCTGAGGCGGTAAAGCTGCGGCGGGAAGCTAAGGTTGAAGACATTGTTGGAGAGATTGAGGAAGCGAAGGTTGGGAATGTCGGCGATTTGGGGAGGAATGGGGCCGGAAATGCTATTGGAGGCGACGGAGAGGTTCACGAGGAATCGGAGCTGGCCGACGTCCGGAGAGAGGGCCCCGACGAGATCGAGGCTGGAGATGTCCAGTGCAGTCACGTGCCTGCGCGTGGCGTCGCACGTGACGCCACTCCACTGGCAGTGGTCCGTGGATTCCTTCCACGACGCCAGGCCCGACTGCGGGTCCTCGGTAATGGCGGATTTGATAGAGAGTAGGGCTCGGTATTCCGGCATCCGCGGCGGTGGTGCGGCGGAGGAGCGGCTGAGGTGGAGGAACAGGACAAGGAGGAGGAGGAGCCATGGGAAACGCATTTTGCTTTTTCTGTTTTTTCTTTTCAACGTGTTTTGTATGTTTCTTTTATCTCGCTATTTTCCTGTGTTAGGTTTTAAATTTGGGAAGAAGAGGAAAGCAGAGAGTGAGGTGAAAGGAATTGGAGAGGAAGAAAGAAGACAGCTCACACTCAAAGTAATTTTCCTTCTCTTTTTGATTTTGTCCCGTTCTCTTTGAGGACGTTTGCGAGATTTGGAGTTTTTGCAATAAAGAAAAAGGATATGTTATATAGAGGATTCAATCAAATCTCCTAACCAGCTCATAGTTTTAATAATGTGGATAAAATCATATTAGACATTTAAATTTAATATTAACATTATTGTATTTTAGTCTGGTCTAAATCGTTTGACTGCATATAATGTTTATATAAATATAAAGAGTACGACGGTGACCCGCTTAGCCATTACTCCATAAAAGAATTTATATTCCAATAGTACAGTTTTGCTATAGAGTCATCCGATGACTCTGATTTATAAAGTTATCTACACTTATTCACCAATAGTGTATTGACACTTGTCAATAAATACAAATTGGGCATGTGTCAATATAAGTGGTGGATGACTTTATAAGAAAACCATTTAATGGTTTCATAGAATTTTTGTTCAACAATATATTAATATTCGATGATAATAGTATATAAAAATACAAATAAAATTTTATATATTATGTGTGTTTATGTATTATTTAAAATTATAAATAAGATAATAAGCATATCACATTTATAAATTTTATCATTAGTAAGGATGAACAATATAAATATAAACTATTTAACTAACATATTAATATTTATATTGATTTCAATAATGTAATTTTTGGAAAATCTTGGATGTTATGATCAAATAATTGATAAAATAATATTAAAATTATTATTTCTATAACAATTGTTTGTGAAATTTTAAAAAGTGTGGTTATGCAATAAAAAATTAATATTAGCTATTATATAATAAAATCAACAAAAAATCTAATTACTTTGATATGGAATACCATATCGGGTCGACTTGACCCAAGAAACCATCCAACTACACCGGGTGAACCGATAGGTTCACCAGAGATTGAAGAAGTCAGAGGTCGAAGAGGCAGCATGTCGATGGTGATGCCACAGACAAAAAGGATACTCGACAAGTCAAGCTTGGGCCCTCAGATGGCCAGGTATAAACTCGACCTAAATGTATGCAGGTCTGATATGAATTACCACACCATGTAGAGCAAAACCAATAAACTAGTCGGAAATCGGTCGGTTGAGCGGAACCGCAAGAAGGACGATGGAGGTTAAGAACCATCAACGCAAAATGAGGATTCTTCAGGTCGAAGACGACATGAAGGGTTCAAGGAAGACAACGACAGGTCGAGCTAAGGCCCTTGGATGGCCTGATGGAAGCTCGACCTACAGGTACGGCTTGGTCGTGTGATCGACCAGAAAAGGACAACACTTAAGCTCAGAACTTGCAGCATTCTACCTTAGCAGGGCTTAAGCTGGTCACATCATTAGGCCATCTAATACAAAAGACTAAGCGACAATAATGAATCTTCATGGGATAAGGACCTCACGTGGATAGGGCTACATGGCCCAATAAAATTAGGCAGATTGGGCAGTACGAACGAGTAGCTAGGGCAGCTCACTTGGCTAGTCTTGGTCAAAAAGGTATCACTTCCCTATATAAGGGAAGGTATGTCATTTATCACATTACATTTTCCATTTATTCTATATACTTATACTGCACTTCATCTTCTACAAGTGTTAACTTAAACATCGGAGACTCTTCACCAAAAAACCTCTCTGGTGAGAGTTTTTGCAGGTCCCAAGGCATTCAACCGGCAATGAGCTCTAGGGCAGGCCGAATCCAGCAGGTCAGAGGGTTTTTGTGTACCATTTTGGCGTCGTCTGTGGTACATTCGATCAAAAAGCCGTGAAACACCATAGTCATGGCTAGCGAGATTCCCAAAAAGAATTTTGAGTAGACTTTTGACAATGTGTGGTTGAACATAAGTCCGTCCGGAGTAGGCCCACCTTTAGGCTTCTTCGAACCTTCGCAGACCCTGGTGACCTTGACGCCTCATCCAATGGACTTAGGGGTCTCGTTGGTGATCTCTATTGCAGTCGCAGGCTCGAGAACCCCCCAAGAAGCTCGAGCGGCTCAGGGAGCGGTGGTTCTGTCGGAGGTGCAGCTAAATCTAGTTCGAGGCTGAACGAGGGAAGCTGATGGTGATGTCGAGGGAAGAATTAGAGAAGATGATAGCCAACGCGGTCGTAGCCGGAGCATCTCAACAAGCCACCCGCCAAACATCCCACGCGACCACGACCCCGGCCATGGTGGTGGGGACGAACCAACAGGAGACTGAAGTGGACCAGTCATGCAGCCGAGGAATTGAAGTCCACAGAGATCTAGCTGTCAGGTGGATTGTGAAACAGATTCGCCAGCTGTAGACAAAGGTAGACGAAAAACCTACTGGTCGAGCTCGAGGACACCCCTTTTCCAAAGAAATCCTCGACGCGGACTGCCGACGACTTTTTGAGAGATCAATCTCACGTACGACAAGTCGACAGACCCGTTGAGGAATTTAAGGTCATTCGAGAATATGGCAGTTCTGCATAGGTACTCTGATACAGTTTGTTGTCGAGCTTTCTTGACTACGTTGCAAGAAAGAGCTCAAGATTGGTTTCACCAACTCCCCCGGGGTCGGTGAGGATTTTGAAGATTTCTCGAGCTTGATCTTGAACCAATATGCTAGTGCGATTGCACAGGAGAAGATGTACTTCACATTCATGGCGATGCGACAAGGGGAAGATGAGTCGCTGAGAAACTATGTGACGAGGTATAATCGAGCATGTGTGGAGATACCCTCGGCCTTGGACGAGGTCAAGACTGAGGGTCTGATGAGGAGTCTTCGAGCTAGTCCATGTCGGAGCGACAACAGGAGGAAAAATGGCAGGATCGGCCCCTGAAAATTGTCAGAGGTTTGAAAAGTATACACCATTGAAAACGTGATGGAGGAGGTCCTTGAGACGATAGAGATGAATATTGATGGTTGATTAGTGACGTGGCTGAAGTCAAAGAGCGACGGACCGACACAGTCGAAGTCGATTCAATACTGCAGGTTCGACAGGGATTATGGCCACACGACGCACAATTGTAGACATCTGAAGGATGAGACTGAAAGGTTGATTCGAGCAGGTCACTTTAAGGAGTTTTTATATTAGAACAGATAGAACAAAAGGAAAAGAGAAAGTGTCGAGAGAACGAGGATGAAAAACATGATTGGGACGAAGACGAGGATAGCGAGGAGCGTGAGGATCGAGGTGGTCGAAGAGGTGGAGGCAAAAGAGGTCAAGAAGGCAAAGACCAAAACTTTGAGGAGGATGAGGCCCCGCATAAGAGAGGGTCATTCACATATTCTTGGGAGGTCCCACCAATGGTAACTCCAATAATACAAGAAATGAGCACGCTTGAGCAGCAAAGAGGAAGAAGGAAGAGGTCAACATAACAACTCAAACACCGGTGATTAGTTTTCGAGCAAAGTATGCCCAGGAATTACACATGCCCCATAATGATGCGTTAGTTATTACAGTTGAAGTAGCAAGGTAAGACGTGAAGAGGGTGTTTATCGTTACGGAGAGCTCAGTCGATGTAATGTTTTTGATTATTTTAGACAATTGGATTTGGATGTCGAGCTGAAGGAGATCGCTACATCACTGTATGGATTCAGTGGGAGTGAGGTTATCCCCATGGGTGAGATCACTTTGCCAGTGGCCTTCGGGACCAGTTCGATGAGGAAGGTGAAGATAGTCAGGTTCGTGGTCGTAAGAGCTGAGTCATCGTATGACATCATTTTAGGGAGGATGAGCCTGAACGCCTTTCAGGCGGTGGTTTCGACGTACTATATAGTGATCAAGTATCCAGCTGGAGAGAGAGTGACGTCAAGTATGTGCTATCAGACCACAGTTGGAATGAATAAGCAAAATGCGAGGAGATTGAATGCCCCAAAGGAAGAGGAGGTGAGCAGTCTGAGTGGGTTATGATAGAAAGAGGAGAGGCCGAAGATGGACAAAGGGAAACAAAAGGTGGATATTCAACCTGAAAATGAGGTAGGAGAAATCCAGATGATCGAGGGGAGTGACAAGAGGAAGTTCAGGATTGGGGCGAAGTTGGAAGATCCTTTGAGGGCGGAGCTGATTAGGATGGTGAGAGAGTATGCGGATACTTTTGCCAATACTTTAGAGGAGCTCATGGGTATTAATGAGAGAATTATTAAGCATCAACCTCAACTTTCGGTCCGTGTGACAGTAGAGACGCCACCATGGAGTAGAAATGAACAAAATTATCGAGAATGAGGTCGATAAATTGCTAAGGACAGAGCATGTGGACGAGATTCAATTCCTGGAGTGGCTTTCAAATACAGTGATGGTTTCCAAGTCAGAGGGAAAGTGGCAAATGTGCATTGATTTCATGGACCTCAACAAGGCGTGCCCCAAGGACCTTTACCTGTTGCCAAGGATTGACCAACTGGTCGACTCTATAGTGGGGTGCTAATTGTTAAGCTTGATGGACACTTCTCAAAGCTATCACCAAATCCCACTTGCAAAGGAGGACTGACAACGAGTGAGTTTTGTTACGAGCAAGGAGACTTATTGCTCGTGGTTATGCCGTTTGGGATGAAGAACGCAGCTGCGACCTATCAGAGCCAGATCGACAAGATATTCAAGGATAAATTAAGTTGAAACATGGAAGTGTATGTGGACGACATGCTGGTTAAGAGAAGAGAGGAGGCTGATCACATAGCGAACTTAAGAGAGACTTTCATCACACTAAGGAGGTACGGAATGAAGCTGAACCCGACTAAATGCTCGTTTGGCATTAAGTAAGGTAAATTTTTGGGTAATATGGTGACAAAGAAGGGGATCGAGATGAATCCTAAGATGGTACGAGCGCTGTTGGACATGAGGCCCCCAAAGAATGTGAAAGAGGTACAAATATTGACAGGTCGAATTGCGGGATTAAATCAGTTCATTTCAAAAGAGGTCGATAGGAGCATCCCATTATTCAGAACATTGAAGAAGAGCTTGAGGTTTAAGTGGATGGATTTGGCTCAGAAGGCATTTGAAGATTTGTAGGTTGTTCTGGCTGATATACCTTTATTGGCCAAGTCGGTGTAAAGAGAAGATTTGGAGCTTTATTCAATCGGGGAGGCGACAATGAGCTCGATATTGTTACGGGCGAAAGGCATGGCATAGTATCAAATTTACTATGTGAGCTGAGTGATGAAAGCTGCGGAGTTGACGTACTCTGAGATCAAAAAGGCAGCTTTGGCAGTGGTTGTAGCT